TTTTTGGTCCATTATTCAAGGTAGTGTGAGTGAGAGTTGTAAGACTGACTTCTAGATCCATAAAATGTATGTTCTACATTTAGACTTAATAGTTTGAGCTTAAGTGCCCTTGTTTAGTCTGGTTGTACAAAATGGGGAGTACCTTCAACCTTCACCAAGGTGGGGGTGGCTCAAGTGAGGGTCAGGATTAGCTCTGAATTTCTGGCTACAGAAATTCAGAGGGAAAAAGTTACCAAGCATCACTTTCCACAAAAAAAGGAAAGGAAAAGAAGACCAGGATACGTTGAAAAATGCAAGAAATTTGGAGCTTCAGAGGAAGAAACCTTTGAACTGTAATTTTGTTTTTCTCCCAACTCATCAGCACAACGTCTTGAAATTTTTTGGCCATTGCAACGACATTGACCGTGAGATGAGGAAGTGCTTAAGAAAAGAGGTAAGAAACAAATATACAGTGAGTTTAATGTTTAGTACAAAACTGGACAGGACTTGAGTTGCTTTTTACGAAGTAGCACAAATCAGTAAAAGTAACCACGTTCTGGTGTGGGCATTTCAGACCAAATTTAAACTTCTTTTGATAAATTTGTCAAGTAAAATCTGGCTTTAACAAATGGAGTGGTGTATTTTTTGACACACAAAAATAGGCAAACACGTTTCACCAAAACAAATACTGCAGACAGGAACTGCCACTTCACAGATTGCTTCTGAGCTTTTTCTGAATTTTTTTTTTTTAGTAGTGGTATTTGCACAAAGTAGGATATGAAGCAGTAATGGTCACTTCTGTATGAGTAACATTTACAACTGAAGTCACTTGTACTGACTGAAAATACTTAATGAGTTGCTGAGTTAGACCCTGGGTGAAAATACTGCTGTACAATGTCTGCAGATATGAAGGAATGAAGATTCCAGGAGTTTAAGTGGATTTAGTGTCTTAATGGGCAGGTTTTCAGAAGAGTTTCAACTGCTCTTTACATTCATGGTTGTCAGGCCTACATGACAGAATGCAGAAATGAACTTTTCACACACCTCTTAACTTGAAATTGCACTTTCTGATTTTGACATAAATTTCACAATTGTAAAAAGTTTCTTTCCGTGTAATCTTATCAATCTTATTTTTCTTCCATCGAAACCTTTACATTAAAGGGGTTCTTGATGAGTATATTTGTCTGCCTTCTAAAAATGTGGCTACATTGATATGCCATTACTAGGAAGCCCCTGAAAGGCTGTTCACAACTATTGAATGTAGCTTTGTAAATGTAGCTTTTAAAGATCCATTGTTCTCATTCTACATAAAATCATGGGCGAGTTATTGAAAAATTAAATATTGGCATGGGAAAAAGTTAAGCATTCTGTAAATGTTAAGTAATGTTTCAGGTCATTATCTCAGTTATAGACCAATCAGTATAATGGATGAAAAACTGCAAATCCTTTCCAAAATCAATTTCCTTAGTAGTTTATTACATTATATAGAGAATTGGGCATTTGTGGGTTTCTTGGGTTTTAGTCATGATACTGGTTATTAAAAAATTGAACAAATCTATGCTCTAACTTAAGGACAAGAATAATTTGCTTCTCATGAAATATATATCAGGTCGTGCATTGATTTCTAGTTTTTCATTTCTTTTAGCCATGAAAATGTTTCCTTTTTGGTTGCAATGAAAGAAAGGCTCTTCAAGCTTCTGCTAGTGCAGGGGCAGACTTGAAAGCATGGTGGTCTTACACGTATATCTAAACTGTGAAAGCTTTCTTGATTCCATTTTACATTTTAAGTGGAATCCTGGAGCCCTGTCTCTGTTGTGCTTCTTGTTTAAACCGTTAAAAAAAAACCCAAATGCCTTACCCTCATTCAACCCAAATTTGCCTTTGTTCCTTTCATCTTGGTATACTCTTTATCTGTGCATTTAATTGATGTCCAGGATCAAAAGTAGGCCAAGTCTGTGATGACAAATCCATGCTTCAGAAGGCAGACACACATTAATCAGTATTTTAAGAGGAAAAGAGCCTGACCTGTGCTCCAAAGTAGCACCAGGGCAACTTTTTGCCCAGTCCACGTGTGAAGTGTCAGATGTAAAATCGCTGTATAATTAAGTTCCTTCTTAAGATTAACTGAATCTTCTTTATTAAAGTCTTCTAATACTCTTTAGCTTAATAACCTCAACCTTGGAAATGTGTATTTTAATGGAGCAAATGTAAATTTCAAAGTAAAAACGAACCTATACGTAGATAGTAACAAGAGCTGTATGTCTAATGTCAGTTGAACATATTGTTTCTGTTCCTGGGTAATAAACTCTCTCTACACTTTTACATTTGACATATCTGTCTAATGATGGCAGCTGATCTATTAATTTCCTTCTCTGTCTTGCAGTATGAAGAAAACAGGGCCATGAACCGGGTGAAACGACAGAGGGTCATTAATGCTCACAGGAGCCCAGAGCAGTGAGCTGGGCTGGGCAGCTGCAGCTCCACAGGGACATTCACTTCAGTTCCATCACCAGTGGTTTGGAAAAGGGTTAAAAATATAAATGCACCTGCTACACACTCATTCCCAGCAAGGCAACCAGTGTGGAAATAAATAAATATAATAGATCGCTCACAACTTAATTTTTGACCTCTAAAAGAAAACTATTGGGGCAAGTCTTTGTTCTGACGTAGTTTTGTGATTGTTAACGAGGAGTTGGTGTGTGTGGAGTGCTATGTATTCAAGGCTGCTGTGTTCCTCAATTTGTGCTGAATTGCATTTATTTCCTCGTGTTTAGCAGTTTCTCCCTCGTTTCTTGGGTTTTGTGGGGGGGTTTTTTTTGTTTGTTTTTCATTGCAAAACACGGAATGACTTTTTCGGTCGCTCTTTGTAGCGTTGTGATAACAGTTCTCGAATGGATTGGGAAAAAGAAATTTTAAACAGATGTGGCTTGAAATTGGAAATTTCCTATCAAGGAATAATTGGAGTCCTGGTATTTTTATTGGAGCTAAAAGGATGCAACTACTGTCTTCAGCTGAGGAGATTAAAAACCCTCCCTGCCAACTGTGTGTACAGTGTGGGCTGTTGTAAGACAATTTGTTCATCATTCCCGGAGCAAACGGCTTTAGAGACTCCGAGTGGAACTTTTCCAGGGATTTACAAAGCTTCGCCTTGATTTTTGTTGAGTGCAATCAGTGTGTGCTGAGTGATTTTTTTTGAAGAGGAGCACTGCCAAAAATACAAGCTAAACAGCTCTTCCATATTCCTCGGTACAAAGGTGAAGTTATGACTGTTGCAGTTGAAGAAAAGCTGACACTGGAGTGAAAGGAAGTGTAACTTGCCTTTCAGGTGGGCAGGAAAACTCATATTGTGTTCCCAAGTTGCCTCTTAAGCTGTTTATTTGCCATCAGACTGCAGAGAGTCTTCAACAAGTCACTGAATTCAGATTTCACGTCAAAACATTCACTGACTTGTCCTGTGATGGAGCTGCTGCTTCTCTGTGTGTCTGCTGCATTCACCTTACTTTTAAGTAACACCTCTGTTCTGCCAAGCAACAAAAGACTGTTTTAAAAAAAAATTAATTTTATTCAGCCAAATATACAAAGTGTCTTGAAACCTTTTGAAAAAAGGGTGCCTATTCTACAGTGAGCTGTATGGTTTGTTGTAAGAACCATTGTTGATACTCAATCTTGAAAGTGGTACATGCCCCTAGTTTTGGAAGAAAACTATATTTTGTGATCTCTTTTGAAAAATGTGAATTATTGTATTTATTTCTCAATACCTGGATGGACCCAGTTAAATTGGTAAAACATAACCACAACTGTTTTCAGTGGAAGTTCCAAGAAAAGCTGAAGCAATTGCTTCTACAACTTCATGTGCTTTTTGCTTTCTTAGAACAAGTCAGTGATGCACTGTTTGATTTAAGACGTGAATGGCTGGAAGTGCTGCAGCCTTTATTGGTATTTTTCAGAGTATTTTCAAAGAGTAGAGACCCCCCATTTGGGAACTCTGCATCCCTGATTCTTCTTCCATTTGAGATGACACAACCTACTTCAGGCAAGCTCTTAAATAGGATTTGTAGCCTTTAAGTAAATAAATAAACTGAGAATTGTTCCAGAGATTAGGTCGAGGGGCTGACATCTGAGTGCAGAAGCACTGAAGCTTTTGTTTCTTTCATCAGCTTCTGTGAGCCCCGATCTTTCACACAGCAACAAAACAAAAATCCAAGAGCCACTTAACACAGCTCATTAGTCAGAATCATGCTTTCAAAGATCAATGTGCTTAGTGAATGAAAGACCAAATAGAACACACAATTTCTATTGATACTTTGAACTACATTTAGCAATAATTCTATTTTACAGATAAGCTTTGTTTACTTAGTGAAAGTCTGATCTTGTTCATCCTGTTTCTCTTTGCTTATTGCCCACTAGTAGTGTGAGATGAGAGTGCCCATTGATTGCTGTGGGTTTTGTTCCTTTTGTTTGAGAGAGTTTATGTTGCTAATTTGATCTTGAAGCGGAGAAACACTGGTGCAATAATACTTATGATTTCTCTGACAGAGAAAGGGGAAAAGGTGAAATGGTAAATGTGTTTTTTTTTCTTGTTTTCTAAAGTGAGCTGAGTGGTGAGAGGGGATGCCTTGGCTGAAATAAACTTTATCTGTAAGGACTTTGAAGGAACTGTATTGTAATGTCATTTGTCTGTAGGAGTATTTCCCCTGTTGTTGTTTCTGAAGAGAGCACGTTTGAGAGAGAAGAGAAAAAGAAATTTGGTGTGGTTTTGTGTTGTGCTGTGCTGTGTGTGAGAAGCTCACGGACATTTCACATGGGAAAGTGAAGAAGGGAGAACCAGAAAGGGCAAATGGCAGCTCTGATCCAGACCTGGCCACAGCAGTGAGGATTTTCCACAGTGAAGCACCATGAAAGTCTAGGATGTGATAACTGTCCAGCAAATCCCTCCAGCTTTACCACAAATACCTGGTAACACTATTGCTTGTGTACTTTCTCTTGGTGGAAAACTAAATGAGGACATCTTGTATTCCTTCTTTTCAGTTTTATTTTTTATTTATTTTTTACTAGAAGGAAAGATATTGTGCTCAATAACAGCACATGGTGTCAGAGCAGCAGGGCTGGTTCTTGCTCTGGTGTTAAGTTCTTTCTACAACAGCACTTGATGTTGGTGTTGCTGTTGAGCTGCAACGCTGAGTGTTGATATATTATGAATGTACCGTTTGTCTTTCCCTGCTCCTCTTCAGCTGGTAACACCCTTGAGGAGTTATGTCCTTTGTGCAGATAAAGACTATGCACTTTCTAGACTTTGCAGTAAAGCCTTGATTCAGTTGAGCTGGCTGTACAATTTGGGTGAGAACTGTAATCCTGGGAGTGTTGTAGCCACTTCCTTTTCCCCATCTGATCCCAGCTGACACACTGGTTATTCAAACAGTTGGGTAGTTGCTCACCAACACAGGGATGAGCTGATTGTGAATTTTCTGGGCGTGCAGAACTTCTTGAGTGTCAGAGTGTACTCAAAAAGACCCTGTAAGAGATGTAGTCTTGGTGCACACTCCACAGGAATGACTAATGTGAATAACTTTCTAAAATATGCGGCTGAGAAGTTAGTTATTCCTACCCTAACTGGGAATCATTGTAATGAATATTTCTGATGTGTTAAGCACTTTGCTGAAGCTTTACACCACATTCAACAGTCAGGCATTTTTTAATTTGGCACTGCCTGTGCTTCAAAAGAATGCCTGACTTCTAATACAAAATCTTTTTGATATAACTGAAAACACATTTCTGTGGAATACCTAAAAGGACATGAACAACAAAAAAAACTATGATACAAGAATGTGATAGTTCAAAATTAATTGTTAACACTTGTGCTTGAGCAAAGTGGATTCTCTACTTGGGGAACATAATGGATTTTACGGCTGTAACTTAAGTTACACATTCAGTTTTATTAACATTGACTAAAATGGAGTATCAGCAAATCTTAGTGGTCCCATTAGATTGTTTAGTTTACAGGCTCAGTGGTAACTGTGCTGCTCATCAACAGAACCTGCCTCGTCGTACAGGAAGGTCTACTAATAAAAACTTTTAAATGAATACTGAATTCACATCGGGTTCCCCAAACCTTTTTCAGTTGAGGTGTAGCAGAAAATTTATCAATGGGAACAAAATATATAGTTAGCCTAAAAATGGTTCTTGTGAACCACTGCACTTTAAAATTACTCTTTTGAACTATTTGGTGACATTTTAAGGGCTGGAAACTTTGATATGGAGCTTTAACCAGTGAGACTTTTATTGGGGTTTTATGTAGACCCCTAGAAACCACACTTCAAAAAGGTAACTGAGCAGAAAAATCTTTTGGGACATTGATTATCTGGAAAGATGTTACTGATGGCTTGACAGAACTCATCCCCAGTACAGCCATCAGCCACCCAGGACCTGGAGATTTGTTTTACCTTGGCAAAAGCGTGAAATGCCGTAAAGAATGTGGATACGTGTCCCTGAGCCATGGGAACGCTGATATGGCCATGACATCCCCAACACTGAGGTGCTGAGAGCACGGGGTACAGAGGACGTGTTCTGTTTGCATGATATCAGCGGTCTAATTTTTAGAAGATCTGTCACTGAGAAGTATTCCTGACCTTTCCTGCCAGCAGCCTGGGCTTGACTGGTTTGATTGCGCTGAGCCGGAGGGGCCGCGCTCCGGCCGTGCCACGATGCCAGCGCTGACTGCGGCTGGAAAACCCTTCCTTACAGCCTGCCAGGAAGAACACTGGGAATGTTTCAGTGTTCTTCCCGAGCCCTGGCAGACCTGCCAGCCAGCAGACACCGGACGTGACCGTGCCCCGACCGGGACGGCGGCGGGCACGGAGCTGCCTCCCGGGGCCGCTCCGGGGCGAGCCGCCAGTGCTGCGGGATCAGGCGGCCGGCAGCGCCGGCTCCACTCGCCGCCTGGCAGCCGCCGGGAATGCCGCCAGGCTCTGCGGGCCCGGCCCTCCCCTCATCCCTCACCCCATTCCCCCCATCCCTCACCCCGCTCCCCTCATCCCTCACCCCATTCCCCCCATCCCTCACCCCGCTCCCCTCATCCCGCGCCCCGTTGGCGCCGCCCAGCGGCCGCGCTGTGGGGGGGCGGTGTCCTCCCCGGCGCGCGGGCGGGGCTGTGAGGCCGCGCCGCCATGTTGGCGGTCCCCGCGTGGCGCTGGCCCCGCACCTCGGTGTGTGGGCCGTGCCAGGGCACGGTGCTGTGCCAGGAGCCGGTGCTGTCCCCAGGTGATAGTGCTGTGCCAGGGAATGGCCTCAGCCCTCCTCAGAGCAGCGTGCTGGGTGCTGGCCAGGTGCCACCTCCCCTGAACGCCGCGCGGCCCTACCGCGGTCTCTGCTTCAGGTAAAACACGCATAAAACGACACCCACGCTCTTCACTCGTGGCCAAGAGTTCTCACAGACCACCCCCCTCGTGCCCTGACATACTCATATGGATGGTATTGATAGCTCGTTGATGCCAAATTCTCTTGCACAATCCTATTTTATTTACCATCCACCGTGTTTTTTATTTATTTAAGTCAAGTGGATGTTGCGCTCAGAACAGTGCTGTTGAAATAAGCAAACGTGGTTGGACTTTGCTGTGTCCCGAGCAGGGCCCTGGTCACAAACCCCAGCAGGGACTGGCACTGACGTTCCCAATAACCCTGTGTTTGGTAGGATTAGAAGTCTATACCTCCCTCTTTTCCACCCCCCTGGATTGCTAGTTATAACAGGTGTTTTGGAAACAGCGATGTTGTGCCCTAATACAGGCATTCCTGTTTTCCAGAGTTCAGCATGATATTAGAACTGCACCTGGCTCTGGAAGAAGCCAGGAATATAAGGTCATCCTCAAAGACAACTGGCATTGTTGCAGTTTGTTTTCTTAGTGATTCATTTTGGGTGGCATAGTGGTTGTCACTTGCTTGGATATTTTATAGTATTGTAATTATTTATTCAGTGGCACGTAGACCATGTGTGCAATTCACAGAACAACTCACCTCAGCTGTCTCTGTCAATTGACAATTCCAGCTTTAATTCTTAAACTTTCCTGTAGCTTTCAGAGCTAAATATTTGTGTGGATTATGTAGCTGTGTTTTGGTTTGGTTCATATTCTAACATTCTTGGTAATGAATATATGAAGTGCTTTGTGTCTAAGTGGCATTAGTTAGACAGCTGCGGTTACAAACAGCCCACATAATCATATTAAATCAATATTAAATGTGCGCTACTGAATAGTTGTCTTTGGGATGCTGATGGTCCCAATTTAATTTAAACTCCATCCCGCTAGTGCTTCCAAAAAACCTCAGAGGAAAACAAATCAAAAATCAAATCCCCAAATGAGTAAGTCCAAATGGAATAACAGAATCCTCATAATTGGTCTGCAGTGGCTTCATTTAGGTGGATGTACAAGTGTGTGGTGTGTGGCAGCAAACAATCCAAAACCTGTTGGCTGTTCCTGTCACAGAGAATTGGATTTGAGATGGTTTTAGTGATAAGAGGGTTTGTTTATTTTAACTAGGAAAATAGAAGAGGCTGGTTGGAGTTATGACATTTGGTGTGGGGAAAAGATGTAAATACTAGAAGTTTCTTCAGAAAGCCAGTTTGCCCTTGCTGTGATGCAGCTGTTGCTGCTGTTGGTTCTGTTTGCAGGATGGCCAAGAGTAGATGGTGTGAGGGCTAAAATGGGGCACCGACGTGGAAACCTAAAACTTTCCTCTGGACCTGCTTGGTATTCAAAATGGAGCCACTTAATTGAGCTGGTCCTAACGAGAACTAAGCATTCTCCCTCGAATTTTTTGGGGCTGGGCTTGTGTTCAAGGGCTTCTGTCTCTGTGCTGGGGCTGTGCTCAAAGGGAGGGTGCAAATGAAGCAGTGGAACTAAATCTCCTGGTTGGGAAGTTGCATTATTGCTGCAGGGAGTGGTGCATCAAGTGGAAACCAGTTCCAGTGTGCAGTGCTCACTGGAGATGTTGCAGTGTTGTCTCTAGTTGTTTGTTAGATCTTACCATGTGTTAGAAGATACTGCATAGGGAAGTTGTGTCCTGCACGTTATGCTGGGGAAGCAGAAAGGGAAGGCACCTGCAGGGGAAGTGAGAATTCTCCCTTTGAGCTGCAAGAAGCTTGTCCATTTGAAAATATCTCTGTTTTAATAGGTTGAATGTCTGGGGCAGAACTTGGGACATTAATCACTGTGACTTTTATTTGTAGCTTGTTGGGGCTGGCATTGTTTGTGGCCATAGATCAACAGGTCAGCGTCAGTGCATTGTGGTCCTGCTGAGTTGAAGTTTCCTCGTGCCCTTACACCAAAAACGGGGCTTAAGAGACGTGGGTCACACCAGGCAAATGCAGGTCAGGTCCACCTGGGGCTGGCTGTGTCCTTTCCTTAGTTGTTGTGTCCCTTCAATTTGCTGTCAGGAGGGTTACAGAGGTTGCCCAGCAATTCTTTTCTGTTATTAAGGAAGGGGAAGGGGAAAAGTGAAGGCACCAGTGTAGGTCTGTTGAAATTACTCATAGCTGAAGTGGTGGGGTATGTGTATTTATTTATTTATTTATGTGTAAATGTGTAAAAAATTGTACAATGAAAGAAAGGAAATGGCCAATTTAGCCAACTTTTCCAATATGGAAGGGTTCTGGTTCTTGTTTTTCTCTCCTCTCCCTGCTGTATCAAAACCCAGCAGTAATACAACCCTGCAGCTTAGTGAGGGCATTTACTTCTATTTGGGGATTTTGATCCAACGTATGAAAAGTGAAAAAGTATTACCAAAAATCAGGAGAGAAAACAAAATACATTAATCTTTCTGTTGTCTTTTGAGACACTGCAAATAGGCATTTTAATTTAGGTGTGTTTGACTTGGCTTTGACAGCGAGAGAAACTAAAATAGCTTAGCAGCAGCAAGAAGTTTGGAATTATCATCTGTTTCTGTGCTAACCTGCATTTGAGAATTATTTAAGCTAAGTGCAGAATTATGTTCTGAGTCTTGCCATTCCCAAACAAATCAGATCACTAATATAGAGAAGGATGTGAGTGGTGTACAAATACAGCAAATAAGGAATTTGCTATTTTTCAGCCCATGAGAAAGAATGACTGACTGGAAGATTTGCATGCAGACTACACAGATGCTAAGTATTTTTCCATAAATAAGTGTAAACAATTTCTTATAATAAGTACCTTTATTTCAGCGTTACCAGCAATGACAAGTAACGCAAGTTATTTTTGTTGTTGCCATAAAATCGTTTAAGTCATTATGGCTGACTCTTCAAAGTCAAATCACCATATTCTCATCTTCAGATCAGCTTCCTACTAAAGTGATGATGGATAAATACTTGAGCACAGCCCCTTGGGGTCTGTGGTATATTGCAAAGATCCAGAATTTAGCAGATACAGCCAAAAATAGCCCAGGGAAACCTCAAGTCTATCAAGACCCTTAGATTTTAGTGATGCACACCCCCCCTCCCCAAAATGCCGTGGACTTAAACATCTGTGAACTTAAGTTCAGATTCAGATCTGGTTTTATTTTACAACTTCCTCTTATCTTTGTAAGCAGAACCAAAACCATGGTTTCAAGTCGCTCTTGTCCTGAGAATTAGAATGTGTGAGCTTGAAACTTGAATCCAGATTCAGTGGTTTAGGCTTGTGCTATTTTTTTTTTTCCTTTTTTAAATGAAACAAAGTATGAACAACCACCTCAGCAGCTGGCCAGCAAAGCTGCCATTTTACTGGAGCTAAATTCGGATTCTCTGTTTAAGTGTCAAATTGGTCCTCAGGAAAGGGAAGAACAGAAGGTGCTGCCCTGAGACTGTTGGCAGGTGGCAAATTGCCATCAGATATTCTTCCAGACCTTTGCTGGACCCCTCAATCTTGCCTTGAAAGCCAGTCCTGGAATGATAATGTGTTGTTACCCTTGAGCAGAGAGTGCTTCCAGCATGGAGAGCAGTTGCACACACCCAGAGTGGGTGAAGGAATCAGAGGAGATACACCAGCCATTTTCTGTTATATCAAGTTATGTAGACAGGGAATTTGTAATTGCACTTGGTTTTCTGCAGAAATTGTATTCTATTGCATTCTTTTCGTAGCAGCATTAGGGAGCTCTTTCAGTTAGACATCTTTTGAAATTGGTTTAAAAGAAATTGTATTCTTCTTAGCTTGCAAATAGGCACTGGAGCCAGGCTGGTGGTTTTGTTTTGCATGGTTGTGGGGAATTGTTTAATTCTCCTTTCTGAGTCCTCTTTCTCTAGGTCAGCAGCCAGCAGCAAGGAACATCAAGTAAAAATAAAACTCCTATTTTTAGTTCAGCTACATAATGTCCTATTTATAATACTGAAATTTCAGCTACTACCTGGCCCCCTTCAGTTCAATGAACCACCTCTCCTGTGTTAGCCCTCTTTGCTCTTTTTTCACACCTGCCCCATTCGGTTCTTTTGCAGTTATTTTTGTAGGTTTGGGGATGCTTTTCCAGGAGGGCTCTTAATTCTGCCCAGTGCTGACAGCAGTCAGTTCAAGCAATTTGACTGGAAGTGAGGGCAAGGAGCAGCTAACAGGGGATGCTCAAAACTTGGCATAATTCATCCTCAAAATTTTACCATCATGGAACTCTGGGGGGGGGGAAGAAACTGCAATCATAATGATATATCAGTTGATCCAGATAAATGTTTGCTTCTGCTTTTAATCCCTCATGACTCCTGCAAATAAGACACACTAACTTCATTTTCCTTAGGATGATACATGACAGTAATTTTCTTTTTTTTTCCCCCTTTTGTTTTGTGTAAATTTTAACACAGGCTGGTGAGAGGGAGCCAAAGAAGAGCATGAACACAAACATTTCATGGCTGCAGTTTGGGAGTGAAATAGTTAAAAATGTGTTGAAAACCTCAGAGCGGAGCTGCAGTCTGGGGTTTTGGCAAGTAAAAGATGGCCCTCAGCACACAGGACCTTAGGAAAAATACATTTGTGCAAAGGCAGTTTTTACCCTGCCCACAGTCTTGGAGATAAGGCAGGAACTGGAACAGGAATAGTTCCAAGATACATTTGTCAGAGTGAGAAGGAAATGCTGACGTGCTCCTGGGCCAGGTCCTGCTGCCATCATAGAGGGGCTTCAAAACGGGGATTTCTGCCTGGCTAAGCCAAAACTGAGGGGGGAAAATCCCCAGACAGAAGCAGCTCATGAAACCACATAGACCCAATTATCCACCAGGGGCCAGGCACTGAAAATAACTTTTGTGAAAAACATTTTATTTATTTCCTCCATATGATGTATCTCGCTTGAAAGAAATGAAGTGCCTTGTAAACCTCCTGCTTTTCAACGGGGTTGAGTCATGCTGGAGACTGATGAGGAGCTGGGTGGGGGCGGAGGAGGAGGGAAAGC